TTAATTTTTCTAAAGTTTTGGGGTTTTGAAAATTGCCAAATTGGCCATATTCTGGACCAAATTATTCGCGCTTTGAAATAGTTATTTATAATGCTGAGAGCGTAACGCGAATTATTTTTGCGTGGCGAGTTATCCCGCTGAACAAAAATCGTTCCAGATTGAATTGAGGTTAGCTAATTGGTCGTATTAAAAACGTACGACTCAAAAAGTTACACTTTGATTTCGTCCAAAATGTAGGTTTTCAATACTTTCGTTTCCCAAAAACTATTCGATATGAACTAAGGTACAGTCGGAACACATTCACGGCTTTGCCCTGATAAATGGGCAGTCTTGTTTTGCTTCTTACGGGTGTAATAAGAACGCAGTATATTGCTTTTTAGTTATCCCAATTTGGCCACATTAGCAATTTTCAAACGCCCGTAACTTTACAAAAACTGATCACAGAACTTTTTTTTTGAATGTGAGCTTAGAATAACAATATCTCTCAGATGCTACAAAAACTCCCTCAAAAACGCTTTGTTAACAAGTCAAAAATGGACTTGGTAACACAACATAACAAGACTGTTTATATCAGGGCGAAGTCCTGAATGTTTCAACTACCTTGTAAGGTCTATGGAGCAATAATAACATAAAAAATTTAAAGGTAACGCAATAAAATTCCAATTTTGTTTTTAAAAAATTGTAGAACCATCCCCCACACGTCATATTAAGTACAAAGTGATAGATTTTGCGCCTATTAAAAAATCAATTATGGCATATAAGCTTCCTTGAGCCAATTTGGAACAATTTCTCAGACGGATTAAATCTTGCTTACGCGTCAATGGCGCAAAATATATCGCGCGTTAATTGTCCCAAATTGGCCAAAATAGCAATCTTTAAACCCGCATAACTTTACAAAAATGATCGGAGATAAAATTTCGTTTCAAATTCAAGGTTAGGACAACAATAGCTTTTGAATGATATAAAAAATTCCGTAAAAATCGAGTTTAAAAGTCGAAATTTGTCTGAAGAAAAAAACCACCCCGAGCACAATTGTTCCGTTACTTTCGTTACGAAAGTCGGAACAAAAAACCACCACACCAACAAAAACACCAGAAAAAACACACCAAGCTATTCGAAAGTCGGAACAAAAAAAAACTATATATATATCTGTTATGCTCGGTTTGGTTTTTAACTATTTATGCTCGGTTTGGTTTTTTTCATTCAGTCAATTTTTGTCGATCAAAATAACAGTATTCAGCAAAAAATTTTTATACCCCATTGAAGATATCGACTTACTGAGTTCAACTTAAAAAATATATATATTTTATTTCCGATTAATTTTTCTAAAGTTTTGGGGTTTTGAAAATTGCCAAATTGGCCATATTCTGGACCAAATTATTCGCGCTTTGAAATAGTTATTTATAATGCTGAGAGCGTAACGCGAATTATTTTTGCGTTGCGAGTTATCCCGCTGAACAAAAATCGTTCCAGATTGAATTGAGGTTAGCTAATTGGTCGTATTAAAAACGTACGACTCAAAAAGTTACACTTTGATTTCGTCCAAAATGTAGGTTTTCAATACTTTCGTTTCCCAAAAACTATTCGATATGAACTAAGGTACAGTCGGAACACATTCACGGCTTTGCCCTGATAAATGGGCAGTCTTGTTTTGCTTCTTACGGGTGTAATAAGAACGCAGTATATTGCTTTTTAGTTATCCGAATTTGGCCACATTAGCAATTTTCAAACGCCCGTAACTTTACAAAAACTGATCACAGAACTTTTTTTTTGAATGTGAGCTTAGAATAACAATATCTCTCAGATGCTACAAAAACTCCCTCAAAAACGCTTTGTTAACAAGTCAAAAATGGACTTGGTAACACAGCATAACAAGACTGTTTATATCAGGGCGAAGTCCTGAATGTTTCGACTACCTTGTAAGGTCTATGGAGCAATAATAACATAAAAAATTTAAAGGTAACGCAATAAAATTCCAATTTTGTTTTTAAAAAATTGTAGAACCATCCCCCACACGTCATATTAAGTACAAAGTGATAGATTTTGCGCCTATTAACAAATCAATTATGGCATATAAGCTTCCTTGAGCCAATTTGGAACAATTTCTCAGACGGATTAAATCTTGCTTACGCGTCAATGGCGCAAAATATATCGCGCGTTAATTGTCCCAAATTGGCCAAAATAGCAATCTTTAAACCCGCATAACTTTACAAAAATGATCGGAGATAAAATGTTGTTTCAAATTCAAGGTTAGGACAACAATAGCTTTTGAATGATATAAAAAATTCCGTAAAAATCGAGTTTAAAAGTCGAAATTTGTCTGAAGAAAAAAACCACCCCGAGCACAATTGTTCCGTTACTTTCGTTACGAAAGTCGGAACAAAAAACCACCACACCAACAAAAACACCAGAAAAAACACACCAAGCAATTCGAAAGTCGGAACAAAAAAAACTCTTTATATCTGTTATGCTCGGTTTGGTTTTTAACTATTTATGCTCGGTTTGGTTTTTTTTCATTCAGTCAAAATTTGTCGATCAAAATAACAGTATTCAGCATTTTATACCCCATTGAAGACATCGACTTACTGAGTTCAAATTTAAAAAAATATATATTTTACTTCCGATTATTTTTTCTAATGTTTTGGGGTTTGAAAATTGCAGCGTGGAGGAACTGAAGCGTGGAGGAACTCTAGCTCGTTTTTTGTTGAGTTTGTATGCACCAAAATTTGTTTTCAAAGAAACCTTTGGAATTCTACAATAATTTTGATAGATGATAATTCGGTAAAACGTATAACAAAGATTGATCATAGAAACAGAAGTTTATTGATTTAAATGAAAAAACATAAAACGATGATTGATGATTAAAAAAACATAAAATGATTAATTAAACTTTTGTATTTTACAAAAAAACGCCCCTGCAAATATAAATCTAGATCGCTCACCAAAAAATGTATCGACGTCAAATAAGTGCTCTGTACAAAAGTTTTTTGGATTTTTTCAAATTATCAGACTATCTCAATTAAATTGAAGGTACAATAATTGTTTTTATGGTTATTTCTTTGAAAAAAATCAATATCTGTTTTCTCTCTGAAATGGGAACAAGCAAATGATTTTAACTAAACGTTGTTTTTATAAAACTATACTAAATTTTCGTAGAAAATGGAGCAAGTTTTTGCAAAATTAAATTGCTACTAGATATTACACTAGATATTATACTAATATGAACAAGGAAGGTTTCGAGCAAATGCCATATAATTGTGACTTCAAGTGAATTAAAAAGACACGATCAGAATTAAAAACTTATCATTTGGTTTTCATTAATTCCAATAACTTTGCTTGTTTGTTGAATGTAATAAGATTAAATACAGGCCCGAAGTTTTCCGACAATCTTCTTGGCCGATTGGTTCATAAAAACTCAACATTTTAGTTGTTATAAATTACTGCGGTGATCAATGCTTGAAACATTTTGTCGACTATGATGGAAATAAATGAAAGTTGGCACTAAACCATGGCTGAGGTCAGCGAAAATAAGCGCCAGGATTTTCGTTGTTTGTCGTGATTTTCGTAACTTTTTCTTGCAATTGAAAGCAGCGGAAGTTATGACTGTCAAACTATCTATTCTGACCAATCATTTCTGGTTTCGCATCTTAATTGATAACTCAAGTTGTCAAAAAAGCAACGAAAGTCAGTTCCTTCGCACTAACCAATTGATGTCGTGGCCTTAACTTTAAAACCATGATATTCATACAATTTTCAGCTTACAAAGACTTGTATCTTTCGTATCTGAACATAAAAACTTTTGAATGAACAATTGACTTTGAGAAACAAATCACCCCTCAAAGCCCTGAAATTTTGGTTAAATTTCAAATACACGTTTTTGTATGTTTTCACTGTCAAATTGCTCGTCAGAGGTTATTTCAAAATATTGTTTTTTATAAACCGTTTTTGTCTTGGCTGTTTAAAGAGTTCTACCACACATTTTACTTCGGGTGGACCTTTTGTCTGAATTCGCGGCCGAAAAGCCTCATGCGCAAAAGACCGAATTCGCAAAATTTCTAGCTAATCATAAGTCATGAGAATTTGAGCGCTTTTGGTCTTTTGCTCATGAGAATAACAATAACCCCCTTGGGCTCTTTTCCCCTTCACTTCCCACCCCCCCTCCACCCCGCGTAGGAATCAATTTTATGATGCAACGACTACAAGGGGCTTTACAAGGTTAAATATCAACACCAATTATGCTTATCGTGACATTATTCTACATACCAATTTTATCAATCGGACAATGCGAACAGTAAAAAAATACTCATAAGGATTCTCAGGTATGGGAGGGGAGAGGAAAAGAGGGCTCTTTTTCCTTTTCCCCCCCACCTGCAAACTTTTATATTTGAAGTTACTGTTCACTTTGTCCGATTGACGTGAATTTCGACATGCAGATTAATTAGGCCATAACAAACATATTTGGTCTTCATAATTAAGCTTGTAAAACCTTTTGTTAGACCATAAAATTCATGTTTGAGTGAGGTGTGGGGGAAAAGGAAAAAGAGCCAAAAAGAGCCCCCCTCAATCTCTGCTCTGGTGCTGGTCACGTGGTAACTTGTGTTTTGTTGCGGTGATGGATGAAAACGGGGCTCTTTTTCAGTTTTTCCCGGCCTGCAAATTTTTCCCTGTAAATCTTTTGTTCACATTGTTCGATTGTTATGAACATTGACATACGGACTAGTTTGGCCATGACAAATTTGTTTGGTCTTACCTTGTAAAACCACTCTTTACTCCATAAAACTGATGTTCGTGTGAGGTGGGGGAAAAAGAAAAAAAGCCGAAAACGGTCAAAGCATAAATAGTTTTAATCAGATCCAGTGTTTTGTAATTGAAACTAAAAATTGTAACACGTGCTAAAAGAAAACGTGAGTTTTCCATATAATTGTAAGCTTGTTCAAATTGGATTTTGCGAAAACTTATTTTTTAATTACTAGTTCTTTCGACTGATCTGATTTTTTATAATGCCGACAACAGTGACGTCCAACTCCCAGAGGCAGTCAATGCCGGTAAAATTTTGGCTCATTCTCATTATAGCCCAGCAGCCCTGATAATCGAAATATATGAAACCTTACATGCTTTAATTTTTGGGCTCTTTTGCACTCCCCCCACATTTGATTTCAGTTTTGAAAAAATAATTTTAAGTTGTCACAATGAAATGAAATGTTTTGCATGGTGAACAAACTTACTATTGTGATCACATTTGTTCTTCATAGCTGACATCATAATTTTACGCCTTCAGCCAAATTAAAACATCAAACAACCAAAAAAATTGCGAATTTGAAACATGGGGGCAATTGTAAAAGAGCTGGCTCTTTTCCAGTTTCCCCCCTTTCAAATTCAATTTAGAAAAGCTTTATTTAACGTTATCATAATGCAGTGAAATTGGCGTGGTGAATAAATCGACAACTGTGACCAGATTTTTTTTCCATACTGTACATCGTAACATTGCGCATTTAGCCGTAATAATACGTAAAACAAACAAAAACTCGGTATTTCGAAAGGGGGGACTGGAAAAGAGCCAAAGAGCCTATTTTCGTTCTATAAGGTTTTAAAATTGCAGGTGGATTACAAAAAAAACTTTCAATTGTCTTTTTTGCACCGCAGGCGGATCCCTGAAAAAAGTAACATCCGTCCCCTGAAGGTTTCAAACTTTGCAGGTGAGTAAACGGGCTCTGACTCTCTTTCACTCATCCCCCTCCCCCAAATTCAATTCAGTTTTGAAAAACTATATTTACCTTGTCGTAACGTAATGAAAATTTGCATGGTGACGCTTGTCTTATCAAGACACTTGTTTTTCATACCTTACCTGGCAACATCACGCATTTAGTCAAAAAAAACACGTAAGACAATTTTAAAAATGGAAAACTTGCTGTTATGGGTGGAAAACAACCGAGTAAGTTGCAAATGTGATAACAACTTCTTTCATCGTAATAAGCATTGTTATACCATATACTGAACAAAGAAAACTAATGCAACTAAATACTTTTCAATAGCTTTCTTGTTTTGTTTTTCTTTTTTGAATGCTTTTCACCATAAAACAATTTCTTTACAAGAGTAAAAAGAGCATGTTTTGATCACAATTGAAACTGTTTGACCGAATTGAACTTTTGAATGGTCAAAAAAGTTCACCTCAGCTTGGCAACTTTAGATCGCAGTCAATTTTTTTCTGTTCTAAGATCTTAATAGCGATTTTAAATTCCATTCATTTACGCAGTATCAAGAAATTTGAAAAATTTTCAAAAAAAAATCTTTTAATTAAGGTTTAACAAAACAGGTTTTTTTAGAATACAAAATGCTTGAATCACTATTGTTATCTGAGGCCAAAACTATAATTGTAGCAACAAAATTCATTTAATTTTTCTCACTTTTTGTAAACTTAAGTTATTTAAGTATATAGACATAAAACCTAGCAAAATGAAAAATAAAATAAAAAACGTGGAAAGTGTTTTCAAGAAAACCTTCTTCATTGCTTGTTTTAGTTACCATAACCTAACTTTTGCCTTGAAAAACAGAAAAATTGAAAGTTGAGAGCTTCGAAAAAATTCAAAACCCAAAATGACGCAAGTTTTTTTATTTGAAAAAAAATCCTGTCACTAAAAATACCGTCAGAAGTGTTTCTGTTGCCGGAGAATCATTTGAGGAGGAAGGGTAAAATCTTTTGTTTAATGTTAAAATAATGATAGATACAACAATCATTCGAGGAGGAAGGTTTTGCTTAATGTCAATCATCCGAGGAGAAAGGTTTTGTTTAATGTTAAAATAATGATAGTATTAACAAATTTTTTTGCTACAATTTTCAACAGCTTGAGAAACAAAGGTTACTTGATGCCATAATGAGCAATAGTTGAAGTTTGTCCAAAATTCTGCTTAAATGAGAAATAAGTAACAAAAGATTAAAACTGTCAACAAATAAGGAACAAAAGAGTAAAAGTATACATAACTGTATATTTTTCCTAAAATTGTCGAGTCGAATTATTCATGTTTTTTTTTACTTCTAAGCATCCTTTAATTTTGATGTGTAGTGATCAGAGATTGCTTTTAAAATAACGAGAATTGTACAATTTTGTAGAATAATTCTTATTTAAAATCAGTTCAGTGGGCATACCCTGCTTTCGCTTATTTCTTCAATCCAAATAAAGCAAAACACAGGCAAATAATAAAAAAGGAAGTACTTACTTTTAAAACTGAAAACTCAATCGACGAACTTGATTTGAGATGCATGAAACCGTGAAAATGAATTTTGATTTTTTTCTTTGTTTCAGCAGCATCAGATGACATTGAAGACGATTTTGATAACTTAATCAATCTTTTTCGAAAAATGAATAAAACGGTGTTTTTTTTTCAAAAAACTTTAAATAAGATAACTTTTCGAAACAATTGGAAGTAAGTAGCATCATTGACATTACAGTTTTAATCGTAGGTTATTTTAATGCGAGTATTATGATGATTCCGATTATGATTATGATTATGATTATTTCTAATATAATTGTTATGATCGATAAAATAAAAATTATTAAAACTACTACAAAAATGCTGCTTTTGTTGGTTGTTACAAACATTTGAAAAATGGAGAGAAACTTCTCGTACGGGTGTGTTTTATTTTTTTTTGTTTTAGACGCAAAATCAGGCACCGCAAATAATCATCGGGCTTAGTTGAGTGATATATCATGTTAGGGGCCTTTCAGTCACGAGTTGAACACATTGTAAAAAATTCTGAACGTTTTTTTCCAGTGTTGAGAAAAACCGGTCTGAAATTTTTTGTTTATGTCTTTTTTCGACCGAGTAAAGCGAGAGAGCAGGCATTATTTGTTTTTGAACCAAACCCAATTTTGATAATTAATCCTCATGATAGGGGGGGGGGGGGGCTGATATATCAATTAAAGACTTTTCTAGCTCTGATTCTAGAGACCTAAGAAAATTTTCAAAAAACTTTTCCAGTGCCGAGAAAAACCGGTATGAAAGTTTTGAGTTGAAGTCCAAGTTCGAGCAAGAAAAGCGAGCGGGCGTACTTTAGAAAGATTGGTTTTGAAAGATTGTACTTTAGGAAGATTGGCTTTAGTTTATCTCCACTCATGTCAATTTTTCCTAATGTTAAGTTTTACAAGAGCCATTTTTAGAATGAAAATATTTAAAATTAAAAAAAAAACATTTGCGAAAAATTGAATAAAAAAAACTATTTTTAGAAATTGTTTTCTTTTTATTTTTTATGTCATGTTTCGACAGAAACCGTTGCCTATTCAAATATTCAAATATTCCAAATTTCTAGGTTTTCATCAAATACTTTAAGCACACAACGAACAAAAAACATCGGTAATTTGAAAAAAGTTTAATTGAAAAGTTTTTTCTAATGTACTTTAGTGTGATCGGAACTTTCTGTTTTACTTGCACAGCACAGGTTATTCTTGTTTTCGTCGAAAGTGCAATTCAAAAATTTTTGAGCGTAAAAATTTGTAACATCAAAAACTTGTTATTTTTTTATTGTTTTCAATGAGTTTTGATATAGTTTTTTCATCCGTTTTCTCATTTGTGTTTGTTTTTTCACAATATTTAAGCATTTTTGAATTTATTTTTTGAGTAAAATCAGTTCTGGTCTTTCAACCTTGTTTGAGTTTCGAGTAGCCAAAAGAAAAACACGGTGCGTTTTCAAAAAGAAGATGCGTTGGAGTTTACGTTGAGTCAACACCCCGGTCAAACATCCCCCATCAACCATTAACTACCCCCCGTTCAACCAATGAGCCCCTTTACTTGAACGTGATGGTGGGAAGTGGGCAAAAGGCGATAATAAAAGTGGGCGAATGGCGATTTTTTTTACCATGGCGTTGGTAAAAAATAACTAAAAATAAAATCTTAAACTGCCAAATTAAAAAAACAGAAGTTTTTAAATTATTAAGTATTATGTGAAAAGTATGAAAAATTTGAAACGTAAAACGAAGCAACTGAATTAAACAGGAAAAGAAATACCTTTGAAAATAATTGCAAACTTCATCACGAACTTCTGAAAAAAAATCCATTTTAATCGATTATAGTCGGTTATAATACATTATATTGATGTGAAAAATATTGGGATTATAATCTTTTTTAATCGATTATAAGCAAGTATTCTTGACACTCATTAAGAGTGATAATGATTCTACCAAAATTTTTAAATCGGCCTTAAAGTGCAGTCGGACCATTCAGGGCCTCGCCCTGATATACAAGCAGTCTTGTTAAGAGAAAAAAAAACAACTTTTTTGTTGACTGTTGACTGCTCAGGCGTATTTTTCAAAATTATCTTCCATTGCTCTTATAAGTACATTTTCATAGCTGCTCATCCTGGCCCCCCCCCCCCCCCCCCCCACAATATAACCCCATCGAGATTTCTGCACTGATTACAAGTGTGAAGTTGTTATAGACCGAAAAGTATAGTGAGAAGAAGAACAAGAGTACAGAAAAGACGAAAAAAGAATCAAACAAGAATAAGGAGAGCAAGAAGAAAAAGAAGCGAAAAGACGAAGTTTACGGAGAGAAGTACGGCAGTTCTTTCTTTACGATTGAAATCTGTTTTAGAATAAAAAGTTTTTTTTAAGTAGATCTACACTAATTTTTGATATACTTCGGTATAAGCCTTCGGCTCTTTTCCAGTTCCCCCCCCTTTCAAATTCAACTTTGAAAAGCTTATTTAACCTTGTCATAATGCAATGAAATTTGGCGTGGTGAGCAAATCAACAACTGTGAACAGATTTGTTCTTCATACTTTACAGCGTAACATCACGCATTTAGCCGTAATACCACGTAAAACAAACATAAAACTCGGTATTTTGAAAGGTGGGGGGGGGGGGGAAACTGGAAAAGAGCCAAGCCTTCATGCAAACATTCGATTGTTTTATTATTCTATGAAGTTTTTTCTAATACATTTTGTCAGTGCATGCTCAAAGCACAACCAGTAAGTCAAAGTTAACAAGTTTTGATATAGTTTTGTCTTTAACTTTGCTTTTAGTTTTCCAACTCAATTTTATTTCCAGAATATTGCCTCATGGGCTGCCAAACTTTAACAACGCAAACTTCTTATACTTCTTATGAGTCAATTGAGAGAAATTCAGAATTTTAAAAAATTATCTGTCTATTATCATTCACTAATTTATTTAATTTAAATGAAAAAGTTTCAGTTCATAACTGTCTTTGTAGAATCTATATTCTCTCTGCTCTGATTTGTTTCCAGCAGCAGTGATGAGAATTTGGAGTACGGAGGGGGTCGATATGGCGAATCTTCAGGGGAGAAGAAATCAACGGAAGAGATCAATGTGCAGTGAGTGAAGTGCGATGGTGGAAAATGGTTAACCGGATAAATATAATACTAGTATAAATATACTACTCGTACCTAACAAGCTCTTAAAAGTATCTTAGCAATTCTTACAGTTTCTCACAAATTCTTACAAATAACATACCAAACAAATTCTTTGTAAAGGTATTAACAGTACCTCGTATGTTCATTTTCTTCTGACGAAAAAATCTTCCTAATAGACAGTAAGTGACCAGAAATTTGTTTCTGTAGAGAAAACACGAAAGACTAGGTTAGATTAGAAAATTTTTTATCCAGCTCAGAAATCAAATCCGTACGGTGAAGGTAAGTTCAAAAATTAAAATAAGTCAGCATTATTGTCAGATTGCCGAGTGAGGAGGAAATTTTGTTCTGGGTGTTTTTCCCCACGTCAAGTCACGAATCTTAACGCTTAGCTCGTTAACTATTCCCTCCCTAAGGTACCTAGTGACAAAAAGAAATAACTCTAGTAACAAAAATAAATGATTCAAAAACAAATAATTGAATGGTTAAGCATATGTATGTTTTGTACCTATTAAGGAATCTCCCCCTCTTTGCAAAGGAGGGGATAGTTAAAGAGATCCAAAGAGTAAAACATGTTTTTAAAGCATCCTCAGTCAGGAGCGGATTTAGGGAGGGGGCGAATGCCCCCCCCCCCGCAAGGGTCCTTTTTAGTGCTTTTTGGTGCTTTAGGAATCTTTTTAATGTCTTTTTAGTGTCTTTTTAGCGCTTTTTAGTGCTTTAGAAGAGCTCGGAAAATCAATTTGGTCGACCTGAAAAATAAAAAAAAGGTTGTCAAAAATTTCGAAAATTTTTTGAAAACCCGCCCTCTCCCCTCGAGAAAATCCTAGATTCGCCCCTAACCTCAGTCACAAACTGATCGATTTTTATATGTATGGCTGTTGCGTCAAAACTCAGTTCAAATTTATACAGATGCCTGGTGACGGCAACACTTGGTTCAAACTCTTTCAAAAAATACAAAATAGACAAAATCGAAAAAAAATCCAAACAATTTTGAACAGATGGCGAACTAACCAAATCTTTGCTTAAGTAATTGCGACTAAAATAGTGGTAATTTTATATTTTTTGTAAGCCATCACTTGAGCCTAAATGAACGGAAAGACAGGCTGTACCAAAAATTTTAAAAAGCATCGTTATTGTTCCAGTTTTCGAAGAAAATGGAATATTTACGCTCGGTGAGGTTTTTTTTATTCAATCAATTTTTGCTGATCGAAATCATAATTTTCAACAAAAAATTTTCGACTTCATTGAAAGTATCGGTTTTCTAAGTTCACATTTAAAAATATATTTTCTGTAAAGTTTTTGGGGGTTTGAAAATTGCCAATTTGGCCATGTTTTGAACTAAGTTATGCGCGTTTTGAATAGTTTTTTCATAATGCTGAGAACGTAACGCGACTTATTTATGCGTGGCGAATGATCCCGCACAACAGAATCATTCCAAATTGAATTGAGGCTAGATAATTTCGTACGACTCAATATTTCACACTCTGATATTGTCCAAAATTGATACGTTTTCAATGTTTTCTTTTCCCAAAAACTATTCGATATGAATTAAAGGACAGTCGGAACACTCAAGATTTGCCCTGATATACGAGCAGTCTTATTGTTATCTGTGTAGGTCTCATATTAAACGTAGTTTAGTTCACTAAAATAGTTACAATTTACGTTAAATTTGAGACTTAAACAGATAAAAATAACGATACTTTTGGATATTTATACAGCTTTTAGACATCACTTTAGCTCACATTAACCAAGAGACTATACAGAAATTTATTTAGTTTTCATTTGTTTTTTTTTGTTTTATTGAACGTAGCAAATGTAGCTCATTTAGGACTTGTAATTTTTCAGCTTTCTTGGGGAAAAAATTGTCTTACTTATAATGTGTTTTAGTCCCTTTAAATTTTGGTTTCATTTCAAATGAATGTCAACTTAAGCAACTCAATATCAAAAAACGCGCCTGGCATTATTTATCAGGAAAGTAACAATTTAAAAAATTTTAGAGAATAAAAAAGAGTTCATCCGTGTTTCGTACAATTTACTTTAATTTTTTGATTCTTTATCTGCTGTTGTTGTTGTTTTCATTTGGCAAAATTGAAAACGCTGGTCGCCACCATAGAAGATAATGCGCAACCATGCATACAATATTGTGTGAAAGCAAAATTTCTAATAATAAATCAATTGTAATTTGTTTTGGAAAGAGCTAAAATAGTGTTTTTTACCATTAAAATTATTCGGCTACAACTCCCAATTACTGAAGAATTTGTTTAAAATTTTGAAAAACTTGCAACGTACATATCATAACTTAGCCAAAAGTTAATTTAAAACTAACAAATTTCACCGAGTCTAAATTGTCTAAATTTGTCTAAATTTGACAACCAGTATTTACTCAGCCAAAAGATACCTGTTCCGACTTTCGTAATGAAAGTAACGGAAGATTTAGGCTCGGGGTGGTTTTTTTCATAACAATGATTTTTTGTGAATAATTCAGAAAACATCTAAAACCAAAACAATGGATTTTTTCTTTTTGATTCCCCAAAATTCCGGAGGAATTGGCTTCTGTTTTCGAAAACTTGTTGGCTTTTTCTAAACATTTTCTACCTAGAACAAATTGATTTTTCCCTTTCTCCCTGGGACCATAACAGACACTTAATTTGTGATTGTTGGGATTCTTCTTTATACTGTGCATTTTTGCCTGGCCTTGCTCAAACTTTCCCTATTTCAGGTCATCATCGTCGTCTCCCAAAAAGACAGACAAGAAGGCGAAAACGGAAAAAGGTACGAAGCAAACAGCCCCTGGTCCAGGTGCTCGACTTATGTTTCGACTTTGAAAGTCGAGGGCGTGCAGTTTTGCGACTGAAATTCCGCGGTCGAGAAGCAATTTTAAATTGAGCACAAACAAATGAAAAAGACGAAACAAACCCGATTTAGATGTCTTTTTCATTTGTTAATTTATAGTGTAATCGGAAATACCAAATCATTACCCTGTGACTTATAATGGCGGTTTGAGACCCCTTCTAGCAGAAGGGATACAATCGAAAACAACTTTGTTTTATTTTTCGACAGATACACACAAGAAGAGCAACAAAAAAGGGAAAAAAAGAAAAAAAGGCGGCGGGAAAAAGGGGAATAGGAAAAAGGGGAACAGGTATGAGAACAACATGTATGGGGACTCAGATGAGGAGGGAGGAGGGGGCTATGGCGATGAAGGGGGAGCAGGGTATGGGGATGATGTCAGTGATGAGGGTCCCCAGGAGTACAAGGCACCGGAGAGCAGTACGATAGAGAGCGAGCGTAAGTCAATAGTCGTTGAGACCATCCAAATACAGTTTATAGTTTTCTTCTACTCGTAAAAAGAAAAAGGGAAAATAAAAAAGAAATTATTCTGCTAAAAATAATTTTTTTTTAAATTTTAAATTTAATTTCTAGCGTTTGTTTAATTGTAATAACCACTCTTTTTTGCTTTTTTCATCTAATTCAATCGGTTTTCTAGAACAAAAAGAACAGGAATTTCAAGTCAAATTCTTATACCTTTTTTATTCAAAGAAAGTTTTTTTCATTTTTTGTTTGTTTTCTAAAATACTTTTCTCGATCTTCAGATTTTTTGGAATGTGGGTGAAAAATCTTTTATTCAAAGTTCAACATAAAATTATTGAAAAAAATTAGAGTTTGATTTTTTTCAATGAGCTACTAAAAATGCTGGATATGTTCGGCGTCTACCATTTGGTAATTGGGGCTGAGAACTAAATATTTTGAATAAGTTTTTCTCATGAAAGATTTGGTTTGAACATTTTTGATTGCAGAGCAAGTCACAACTATATAGATTTCAATATCATTTTTTTCAACCTGTTCGGACTACCTGAATTTCAAAAACATTTCTGAATTAAATGATGAATGAGGAAGGTGGACAGATCAGCGGTAAACATTATAAGAAAACCAATACGAAAAATAAATTTTTTCACCCGACTTAAGCTCGAACTACATCCGTGATCATTCTACGTCGAAGTTTTTTTCCGGCGGTGACAAAGAGCAGATAGCCTCAATAGCTCCTAGTCTGCTTCAGATGACATTGTATGTCGGAACTGAGTGACACTGGTATCACTCTAAATTTCAAACTTTTCATGCAGTTTAGTTTCGCCGCTCTTTTTTGCTGGATAAATTGATTGCACGTCGAAAAATTTGCTTTGAAACGGCACATGACATCTCTCGGCTAAATGTTTTTTGGGCTATCAAAAAATCTCTGGTAGGTGCACAAAAAAATAATATTTATAAATTTCATTTACAAAAATGAAGTATCATCAATACAACTTGAGTGATCAATTTGCAAAAAAAACTATCAAAAGTTGTTTTGAGCCTTCGAACTAAATTTTTTGAAAAAATTTCAATACTTTTCAATTGTTCCACAAAAAATTTAGTAACATTATAGCCTATTTAATTCGAAAGTTTTGCTAGTTTTCCCCTTCTATTTTTTAAAATGTATTTGACTTGTCTCAATATGTTTTTATTGTTCCGAGTTTCGAAGAAAGTGTGGAATATTTATCTTTGGTGTTATTTTTGATTTCCTAACTAGCCGGAATTTGGACAAAATTCTTTATAAGATTTGAAAGATATTGTTGTCTTGGACTCATATTTAAAAGGTTGTTTTACATGTATTATTATTTTTTTGTACAGTTAATGGGGTTTAAAAATTGATAATTTGACGAAAATGGACAATTCTTGCGCGATATATTCAGTTCATATAACACTCATAAGTGGCGGATTAATGCATTTTAAATTGAATTAGGCAAATCATTTGGTCTCCTTATTTTGATACAAGAAGCTAAATACATACCATCATGGTTTACATTAGCTGGCGGTGGATCAATTGAATAGAGAGAAAAAGTTTTGTTTTTGCTTGCAATTATGTCGTCAATTTTTCAACCAAGTTTTTTTTGAACCAACCTTAAAGGGCAGTTGGACCGTTCATGGCTCTGATATATGAGCAGTCTTGTGTACCATCATGATTTGAATCATCAAGTATAGGCCAGATAGTTTGTTATTGGATTGCTGGCCTCACATAGCGTTTAACCAATTGTAGTCAAATAGCAAATTTTCCCTCAATATTTCGTAGTAACGTTTTTTTTTGTTTCTACTAGCTGATAATCGATTGGTAATCATTAAAACATATATTGTATCAACATAAATCATGACTGATTTTACAAATCAAGCGCTTAAATTACAAATAAAGACTAGCTGTTTTTTCCAGCCATTCTAGCCGTAGCTAACAAAGATAACCACGAGCCTTTTTCAGAAATGGCCTCTTTTTAGTTGTAATAATCAAAGGCGTGTGTTCCTTCATTTAGATGAACCTTCGCAATTCGAATCATTTTTTGGACATTTTTGGTCAGTTATTTGGCGCATTCTTCTTCGAAAAAAAACGAAGTAAGAGAAAAAAATTCGTACGTTGAAAATTGTTTCAACTCAGAAAAAACTAATCAATGTGAAATTGGATGTTAAATTGTAATGCATCTACTTCAAAACCGAAATTGGGATCGTATTTTTTTATTTGGCTACGCTTCGGAAAAAAAATTACCATTGGAAACAGATATTTTTGAATTCGTGAGGTTGTCGGAATATTCAAAAGGTTAATCGTCCCACGCGAAATAATTTTAATTTTTTTTAATTTTAATTTTTTTTATAAATCATCCCACCACTCGCCATAAAAATTAAAAAACTATAATTTTTGCTCCTAGCAGCGTAGGAATTTTGACAAATATTTTGCTTTAACTATTTAAGAACGGATTAAGTCATTGATTAAGCCTTAGTAGCGCGACATGTATCGCGCTTTAATTGTCTCAAATTTGCCGTATTGGCAATAGTAAAATTCTCATTACTTTACCTAAAATTATCACATGTTTAGAACAAGAATATTTTCAGATGATAACAGAAATTCCGTCATAAGTTAAAACCTACAAGCACAATTATTCCATCATTTTTTCTTCAAAAGTCGGAACAATTTTATCCTTTCGTACTTGATATTCTGTAAGAGTTAAGAGATTTAGAATTTAAAAAATCAATATAAAGTTTCATTTTTTGAAAATTGTATATTTTTCATATGATACCGCACATGCCTTCGAAGGCAACAGATTACAGATTATCTTGCAAGAGAGAGAGAGAGAGAGAGATCTGAAAGCGCTGTAGGACCATAAAGAGTGTTTCTCTGATGCGAGCAGTCCTGTTTTCATGCACTTTTACAGAAAAAATGAAACACTCGTTGTTACGTACTACACATAAAACCTGAAATTTTATATTTTACAACTTTAAATGCATTCTTCAGAATTGATAAATTTGGAGAAAATTTTTTTTTCCAGAAGAATATATAGAAAAGTCGAAAAAGAAGAAAAACAAGAAAAAAGAGAACAAACAAAAGAAGAAGAAAGGAAAGGGCAAGGGAAAAGGAGGGAAGAAGAAGAAGAAAGGGAAGAAGAGCTCGGAGAGTTCATCTGAGTCCAGTTCCAGTTCGGACGGGGACGAAGGAAAAGAGAGTAGCCAGGAACAGCAGGACTACGAGATACCGGCGGACGAGGACTCGCAGGCATTCTACAAGGGGGGTGAGTCATTTTTGAGACACTTGTCTTCTCTCCTTTAACCCGAGCAATAATTTTATACTTATTGCTCTTATATTTGTTCTTTCTTGGTTAATATTAGGGTAAATAAATATAAATTAACAGTTTCGACAACCATTTTTTAGGCAGACTGTTGATTTTCTGACCGAGCCCTTGAAAAAGGCCGTTATAGCTCTTTTGCAATGTTTTGACCAAAAAACGCGCCCAAGCGTCAAAGTAAGTGCATATTAGCATCTAAAATAAAGTGCCCTGGTTTTAGTGTCGGCCTAAAATGAATATCGTAAACCAGAATGAAGGTTTTAGAATTTATTAATTTTTGTTTATGAAGTTCAATATAATTTAGATAATTACAAGAAAAAGAAATCTAGTAAGAGTCAGAAGCATGCCAAGGCCAAGTCTAAAAAGAGTAAAAAGAAAGGAAGGGAGAAACTAGAAAACAGATATTCCACTTCGGGCAGCCGACATTACGAAATAGACTCGGAGGGAAACAAGGTCTACAACGAGTTCTACGGAACAGAGGCGGCTCCGAGCAAACATAAGACTACGTCAACGGAGTCCGAGCCATCGGAACTTTCGGAGGCTCTTTTCTTTATTTTTACACCTCGTCTCCGCCTAATTTATTAGGCTCTGAAAGGAACTCAATTTTTCAAGATGAAACTTTGAACAGTTTCTTTCAACGTGAGATCAACTAAAAAATATATCTTTTGTGATTTGCATCACCGAAATTTGGCTATGGGAATGGGGATGATGACATTACACAATAGTATTACCTGTTAGAAAAATGGGTTCGATTTAATATATAACACAAGGAGAATTAGGAGAGGGTTTTATTTGGGCAAAAATAATAATACCGGTAAGAAATAAAACGGGTTCATTTATGTATAATACCAAAAAAATTAGGAGAGGGTTTTAATTGGAAAAGAGTCCATTTGAAGAAGGTTAGCGAGAGGAGAGGGGCGGTGTCACATGAAAGAAATAGGAGCAGGACCGCAGAAGGGGGAGGGGGAGGGGCAGACACGACTGACAGATTGGGTGTATCGGTAAATGTCTTGTTCAATCGTAATGTTTTTTTTTGTTGAAGAAAACCAGCAATAAATGTACGCCCCTCTTGAAACAGTAAAAAAATAATTGGTCCCATTTTTAGGTCTCATCTTTTCAATGATGACAATTTCAGGATAAACCGGAAGGCGTAACTGGTTAGTACGAAAATTTTCCTGTTGGAGATTTCTATCCTTAAACTAATTCCTGTTGAATACTTATGGCGACATTAAGATTCAGACTATTATTAGACTAGAGGGCATAATTCGACAACCCGTAACAAAAATCAAACAGGAAAAATACCATCCAGTTCTGATTTTTATATAGATCTCGGGATGATTTTTTTCAGCAAACGTCTTAAAATTTGTTCAGTGTCAAATTTACTTTTTCATGGGCCCGTGTTTTTTCTGGGTTGATAGATTTTTTACTTCTCCATATTAGTTGTCTATCATACGAGGATTCGAAATTCATATCTTCCTTCTATGTTTGCATTAGAAGTAGCTTGAGTTTGTAGTATTTGTTAATTGCTCTCAATGTCCTCGTAAAAATAAATAACAATTTTGAAATTTTAATTTAATTGTACAATAACTTGATTTGAATTATTATTTGATTATGTGTACAGACTAACATAGTTAAAAACACAAAAACACACTCTAAATTGATGATAATTTAGTTTTTAAGCTTGTTTTTTTTTACTGGAGATATGTGATGAAATTTTTGGTAACACTATATTTTTTGATATGTTTCAATGTCAAAGAACGCAGTGATATAGGCCGTGATGATTGTTTAATAATTCGTTCAAAAAATTCTTAAAATTTGTTCCCGCTTAAATTTGATTTTTTTTTGTGATTTGACTTTTGAAGTTCAACTCATTTCCATTGTTGAAAGTGTTCATTTTGAAAATTTTCATTTTGATCAACAACCAGCTATTAAGTAGAGATATTAACCCAGGCTAATATATTACTAATAGAACTTTAGCTTCAAGGTATCATAGATCTGTTGCTAAGAGAGAGGGAATGAGACCCGAAACAAATTAAGGGGGTTCGAAGCTAAATTATGTTGGATGTTTTAATAAAATTTTTCCTATATTAGTTAAAATGCGTCCGCTCTATAAATTAAGGTTTTTTTACTTTCTTTTTTCTTTTTTCGGTAAATGTCTTCTTTTTTCAAAATCACTGGTACTGTTAATGCGTCATAATTGGCTTGTGTCACTGCAGAAATGAATTTTGATTTTCACCTTTCCCAGCGGAGTAAAAAATACTTTCATCCAGTTTTCTGAGATCGAGTTAATTTCATCAAAAACGAGTACATGATAAATGGTTTTTAAAATTCAAAGAGGTTGAAGGCTTTATATTCGAAAATTGAAATAGTTTTCAGAAAACCACTAATTGTTTTTCTGTTTCATAGCGTTTATTGACTCTTTTCCAATCGTCTGTTGGCTATTTTTTGAAGAAGAAGATCGAGGGTTAAGAAAAAGTTCAGCGGAATAGAAAATATCTGTAATCCAGCTTTCAAAATGACAAAAAATTTAAATATTTAAAAACCCTTATCCTACTGCCTCTTGGCTTTGTGTTATCTGGGTGACGCATTCCACATAGTTCGTACGCTGGAAATTTTTGGATAGTTTTTAACGACACAGTTTCCGACCACCACCCCTCTCTGAAGGGGTGGGAAGGAACTGTAGATTTGTTTGTGTTTTTTTTACGCTCGATTTTGATTACATCAAAGAATATTAGTACGGGAGCCAAGTGTGGTATCCTGTTGACGCCCTAGTTATTGTGATTCGCATGCCAAAAAGTTTTTCGAATATTGCTTGTGTCGAGCAAAACTGGTTCGAGTTTTCCTTTTTTTAGACGTAGTTAAACCGAGACCGAACTACACGGCGCAATTTCGAGATTATTTATATAATTATTCCACCGTTTTTGCATTACTTTATCTAAACCAATTTCCCTTAATCTTAAAAAACGGCGAACGAAGAATTGAATGTCAAAGATTGCAGTGAATACTATTATATAGGCCGTAAGGATTTTTTTAATATTTCGGTTTAAAAATTCTTAAAATTTTTTCCCGCTTAAATTTGATTTTTCGCAATTTGCCTTTTGATTTCTTTTTAAACTCAGTGTAATTTTTTGTTTAAAGGAAGGCAAACTCCGCTATCGATCAGCGAAAATGTGATCGATATCTGCTTTTGAAAGTGGAATTTAATTTCCAGTTTTCTCAAATTGGGTTAGGTTAATCAACAAAGTCAGTATTTTCTTTTGTTTACTTGCGTTCATTGGCTCTTTCCAATTGTCTTTTAGCTATGTTTTATTTACCAACTAATCTAGAGTAGCGGCAAACACTTAGGGGAGCGGTGGTGAAGTGGTTACGTCTCCGCCTCTTAATCGAAAGGTCGGATGTTCGAGGCCCACCATGATCCGTGCTCGTTGCTTGAGGGTGAAGCAACATTACCCAGCCCAGAAACATAACCAAAAAAATTGCATGTAGTTCTTAAACAGGGGCACAACAGCGGTTCGCCGTGATGAGCTGTACAGCTCTTGTGTTGGTCCTTTCCCCGGCGGATAAATGGTCTTAAACACTGATTTACTCTTCAGTTCCTTACGGGGATCACTGCTGGGCACCTGCTTATAAACTGCATAATTTTTTTTCGTTCTATTTATGTCCGCGAAGCTTCAGCGTGTTTTCGAAGCGCAAAATTTCACATTGCTTAAGATGAGTAATCACGTCAAATGAATGCAATTCAAATAAAAAAGAACTTTTCAAGTGACACTTTTAAGGATGATTTATTGCCATAGACTCCCACCACTCCGTCGACTCGCCTCAAGACTCAGTGTACGGAACAGTGTATGGAGACGCCAGTCAACACCATCAGAATGGGGAAATGGAGAGGAGTAGACAGAAGATGCCCACAACGGAAACCTCCCGGATGAGTTCAAAGGGTGGGCCAGCTGACGGAGTGAGCAGGCCGCCAGACGAGGAGTCGGATGACAGACATGATCCGATCCACAAAAACTGTAAGAGTTTGAATATCAAGTTCTGCAGACGGGGTGACCTCTCCGATTTTAAACGGCAGAATTTTATGGAGGAGCTCGCATCCAAAAAACGTTATATTTTTTGCCTATATCTTTCCAATTTGTGCCCAAAATGGAAAATTTATGGAAAATTTGCAAAAACATTCAATGAAAACAAGTATTAAAAAAACGACAATTATTTGAGCTTTTCTTTCAATTTTTTTCGAGGCGCTTTGGTAAATTTTTTTTCAAAATGTATACATTTTTTAGTGTGTTGATAGTGTTATAGCATGTTGGTGAATGACAAGGAGACGGGTCTGATTGAGACAGTGAACGTAAAAAGCAAGTATGAGAGGCAGAAAAGCAAACAAAGCAGAAGCAAGGCACCCAATTAGGAGAAAGTTTTTAGCCGAATATTGAGATACTATTTTTTGCCGCAGCTAGTTTTATTTTTTTTTTCGATTTGAGGGCAAGCAAGTTTTGAAACTGTCAGGCGACAATTCGTAAGAAACGACAATTCGTTACAGGCGATAATTCGTAACAAGCGAAAATTCGTAACAAGACATTGGCAAGTAGATTGCATCTGGCACGGAGAGGAATACTGCGCATGAATCAATTTCTTCCGCTTAATCTACAGTTACGAATTGTCGCTTGTTACGAATTGCCGCCTGTTACGAATTGGCACCTGTTACGAATTGTCGCCTGTTACGAATTGTCGACTCACATTTTGGCACATTCGTTTAACGCCAAATTTGTTCAACTACCCGCCAAAATGCCTTCATTTTGTTTGTTTTGTTCATTACTAAGTTCACTGTCTAGATCAGACCCATTTCCTTGTCATTCACCTAGCACTTTAACAAAAAAGTTACGATCTGATTATTTGAATCAAAACGGTCGCAAGTCAAGAAAAACAAAGTGAGGCAACATAAGCATTTAGGTTATGTCATAATCAGTTGAAGGCATACTTACACGGGGCGTTTAATAGTGCCGAAATAACATTAAACTGAAAAAACTTTCAACAGTTCCAAAAGTTAATGATATTTGAGAAGTTTGAGCTCGGTTTGTGAATTGCTGAAACTTTGAGCTCGGTTTGTGAGCTGCTGGTAATTTTGGGCAAATACTCCTGGATTGACCTCCATGGACCAAAAGTACCCATCATACGAACTAAGCCTATGAAAAAATACAACTCATACAAATTTCATACCTTTTGCTAAAATGGTGTCGCCGAATTTCCAAAGCAGTTTTTCTTGTTTTGGTACAAAATTCGGTGCATCGTACTATATAAAAAAAAACTTTTTGTGAAAAAATTGCTAATCATACATTTTCTATAGATAAAGTTTTTATGTTGTATGACTAGCCTTTTTAATGGCGACAATAGAAGTCTTTCCAAGTCAACAAAAGAAAATGCTCCAAATTTTTTTCAACCGCAAATTTAGTTTTCTAATCAATGCAAAATTTAATTGCTTGTGTGCATAGCTTAGTCCTGGATACACTTATGTTGGATTTTCTACTTTTCGCTTAATACCTGTTTTCAAGAAACTCCTATTTTTGCATGGTTTGCTTATGTACGCCTTTATCAATATCTGATAATTTAAAAATTCAAATTTTAAAATTAATCGTCATTGAAAACTTTTGCTAAAATTTAAAAGTTTGTTACTTTCGTTAGATAATTTGTGTAAAAAGCGTATAGACAATTCAGGTAGTTATCTATGCATTGTAAATGCAAGACCGTCCAACTTTTGGTGACCCCAGTTTTGAGAGAGCCAAGGTCTTTGTCATTTGCGTTTGTTTACGAACACAACCCAAAAATTTTCAGAAATTACTCTTAAAAAAACCAAATTTTTTGGTTTCTGGAAAAACAATTACCATACAATTTTCATATATGGGAAAGTGCTTATCATAAAGATTTCATACAATTTTCTGTACGTATGGGATTGAATGGAAATGTATGATTATAATTTTTCATATATGGAAAATGTATAATGAGAAGTTTTGGTCAACGCGAGCTGTTTTGATTTGGAGCAAAACCTAGAAGAAAATTTGGCAATTCGCTATGTTATTTGTTTCTTCAGAAAAGTTTATGGCTGTTCTTTCTTAGGTTTTTGCGAATCGAGAGGATTTTCTTTAAAAAAATGACTTCTCTGAGCTTCCTTTGAGCACCAAATGACCAGATTTCAACAAAATCAGTTACTATAAGTTAAAAGGTTACACTTGTCATCAAAAAAAAACTTTTTTCGTTTGTATCTATAGGTGACTGTAATTGAAAACTAAAAAAGTAAAAAAAATATGTAAAATTAACAAGTCTAGAAGATTTGGTTTTTCCAAATTTACAACCGTAGTAGAGATATGTCATCATGTTACGTTTAAAGCTATGTTTTCGCCCAAACTTTAGGTATTCGAATAGATGACTACGAGTCGCCTTTTATTCACCGACCACTGCGTCATGCATTCGGCTACAACCACCCCCCTGGGTCCCGCCCATTCTTCCCCTGCAGCTTCAAACTCATCATGCGCCAGAAGATCAAAGACAGAGAGGCGGAGAGGGAGAAAGAGCGGGAAAAAGAGCGGGAAAAAGAGAAGGAGGAGGAGGGGGGTGGAGGAACTACAGGGGGGAAGGACACCACCAGAAAGGGATCGAATAATTTTTTTGAAGTGCAACCAGATCGGGCTTATTTAAATAAGGGCAGTTTTCAGCGCACATAGTTATAGGAAAATTCAACTCAAACCACAACTTTTTATCATGGTTGATAAGTTAAGCGCAAATCGAAATCATGGAAAAAAATCATTTCGCTATTTAAAATCCTATTAAACTGCGACTAGCTTTTAGTCAATTTATAGTACAGTGCTGATTTAAATTATCCGGACAAAACGAACAAAACATGAATTTTCAAACACGTTTTTCTCAAATTGGATTAAGATCAGGCAAAAAAATGAGGAGAACAAAAGTTGCTTGGAATTTCATCAGAATTGATATGGTGTAATTTTTTTTCTGAAACTCTCAACAAAAATTTTAAGTTCAAAAATGGGTCATTTTGGCTTTTTTTAATTAAATCAAGAATTACGCCGAAACTACTTTGTTAATTGACGAGGAATATATATCAAAAGAAGCCTATTACACAGCCCAACAAAGTTCTGTGAGGGTTAAATCTCCAAAAATTTGAATGAATTGCTTAAACTTATTTTTAAGCAAAGATTTTTGGTTTTATTCAGTTCTACAAGGATAAAATCTCCAAAAACCTGTATAAGAGAAAATATTTTTGCTTGATAGTCAAGAAAACTGATTTTTACTATATAAAACCCAAAATCTTTGCTTAAAAAAATGTTTTAAACAATTTATTCAAATTTTTGGAGATTTAGCCCTTCTAGAACTTTTTTGGGCTGTGTAAAAGTCTTCTTGTGATTTATATTTCTCATCAATTAACAATTTGCTAACCCAATTATAGAAAAACGTTTTGGAAAATTCATATTTTTTTCATTTTGTGCAAATAATTTAAACCAGCACTGTATATCCTTCCAACAAGTTTGCTCTAATTGAGAAATAAAAACTGTCTGTTTGATGAAAACAGATGGTCTGGAAATGTACGGAATCGGTTTTTTAATTTTTTTATTTTCTTATTTTTCTTCGCAGGAATTTGGAAAAGTTTTTCACTTTTAGTGAAAAAAAATTTTTTTTCTCGAAAGCTAAAATGATGAGTATAAAAAATCTCAAGGTAAAGGCCGCCTACTCCCCAGTGTGCCTGCATATTTTTTTAGTCTCTTTTTTACGATAACTTTTATTACAGCCTTTGTAAACTCTCTGGTGGAAAAATTTGACCCAATTTTTGATTGTTTTCATTTTCTCAAAAACTATTAAAATTTTGGTTTTAATGAAAAAAGTGGCTTGTGGGTAGATCCCTTTTTTATTGCCTACGCCCAAAAATTTTTACTGAAAAGTTATGGCCCTCAGAAAAGTCAAATTTTTAATTTATCAAAAATATTTTCATCGTTGTTTAAACTTTCGACTTTTCTCGAAAACCAGCCTCCCAAACCTGAGATTTTGTTTCAATGGAGAAAAAGAGTTGTGTAAAACTTCCTTACATGGGCGGCTAAATCAATTGATTTTTAAGGAAAAGTTATTGTCCTCAGAAAAGTAATATTTTGATAATTTGACTGCTTTTTGAAACTTCTTGACTTTTCTCGAAAACTACCCTCCTAAATCTGAGATTTTGATTTTAAAAAAATCAGGCTGTGTAAGGATTGCTGGACATTGGTTCTACCTAAAGTTTTTTTTCTCCACAAAACTTCAGGGTTCTCGGAAAAGCCAAATAACGGCCATTTATTTTCGTTAAAAAACATCCTCCTCGGAAAAGTCATATTTGAGACTTTCTGAAGTAAATCTGAAGTTTGACTGCAATTGAAAAATAGGTTGTGTGAAACTCTACTATTTTTGCGGCTACGCCCAATTTTTTCCACAAAAATTTATGGTCCTTGGAACTGTCAAATGTTAGATTATTTGACCGTTTTTAAAACTTTTTGAATTTTCTCAAAAACTACACATCCAAATCTGAGATTTTAAGTGAAGTAAAAAAACGTTGAGAGAAGCTAAGCGTTGAGAATTTCTAAAACTTTGTAACAAAAAGTTATGGCCCTCAGAAAAGTCACTGTTTTGATCTTTTGTCCATTTTTTGAAAGTTTTTGGCTCGTCTCAAAAACTACTATCAAAGGGTATCAAGGGTTTAATTGAGACAACAGGTTGCCAGAAGCCTCTGTGCAGAATGTTACGTCCTTAGGAAGTTTCCAAATTCTCAAAAAACTCCACTTTTATCTTATTAGAAAACAATTAAGATTTTGTGTGAAGACCTCTTTTGAAATTATCTTTTTCATCCCGCATCAGTAAAAAAAAGTGAAAATTTATGGAATAGGTGCCTCCAGTTTTAGCTGTGGCTCTAGCTCATTTATATTTTGATGTTTTTTACGTTGGGTCTTGCTGAAGAAATTTTCTCCGTAAAAAATTGAATTCAAAGTATTTTGATCTCTTTCTAGACAAAATCGAAAGACAAAGAACAAGAAAATAAGAAGTACGAGATCTATGTGCCGACAGCATGTATAGCGGTGGACTACATACACTGTCGGAATGAAGTGTGCCAAGTGAAAGTCTTGCCAAGATCCAAGGGCTCTTTTCCAAATTTCATAACGGCCACTTTTTGTTCACAAGATCAGATATTATTGGAACAGATTACGAGAAAAGAGCTCGCAAAAAAGCGCATTCTTTCCTTTTGCGTGTCAAAGTTTGGTGATAAAAATTCAATTTTTCTATATGTGTTTTTTTTCGTTTTTGCGTCCAAAAATTTATTTGCGACGGTGAAAATTTAGCCTAAATATAATTTTTCGAGTTATCTTTAGCGAGCCAGGAAAAAGCTTTGGGAGACAAAATGGGATCTTCTTAACAACCCCCCCCCATCTTTTGTATCTACTAAAAAACCTCCACCCCTGTAAATAAAAACAGTAAACTCACACTAGAGCGTTGTTCGTCAATTCGAATTTTGCTGCATTCTGATTGAAAATCCGCTGCAAGTAATCTACTTAACAATCTCCCTCCCCCTTTCTTGAAAGGAAGGGGGGAGCGGATTGTTAAGTAGATCCGACAAAATGAAACAAGCTATTGAAAACTTACAAATCCTCCTGCTCATACATATAGCTACTCAGTAGAATGATTCGAATAGCCTGCAATTTATATGGAATTCTCGAGAACTATATTCTAGATGACAGTTTGAACTAGAACGAGCGGACCAAGTTAGCATCCTCCCCCCTCCCAAATCCGTTTATAGGAGGATGTTAACTTGGTTCTAGTTTGAACTTTCAGCCAATCAGAACAGAGCATTTTACGAGCAGCGCTTAGCAAGTTTAATTTATATTGAACGCTGTGGTAGAGGATCTTCACTTAGTCTATTTTTAGGGGGGGGGGGGGGTTGTTAAATTGAACCGAAAGAGCCTTTGTTCTAGTTACTTTACATTCGCGACCTAAGGCACTGTGTGACTACTTTTTCATTCGCGGATGATTTTTTCATGCGTATCAACAGCCAGAAATTCCAGTACTGTGGCAGTCTGGAAGTGGTCGAGTATGCGGAAGACGCAAAAGTTGAATCTGAGGTCAATTTCCAATTTTACTGGCTAAAATAGTTCTAAAATGGCAAATGTTGTTTATCTATTGGAACCTGATCTAAACTACATTTTATGATTAGATAAATTAGATATTTTACCAATGTAAAGTATTTAATATTAACCAATCATGATCCATCTAACTAACAATCCACTTATTTGTAAGTGCTGAAATTACTTGTAATTTCAGCACCAGAGAGATTTGAATTTAACTTAGAAATTAGTTGAACTCTCCCGAGTACTTCAGCAGCCGCAATAAACCAGTATACCCTAGATCTATTGAGCCTAGCAGAGACTAGTTAAACAACCTGAGACTAGATAGTATAAGAGTAAGACTAGGATCGGTATTAGACTAAGAAGTTGCACGAATCTATCCGGCCGAAAATAAGATAGCGTGACGAGCAGACGGTGTACCCTATCCGAAATTACTCTATGAGTTATACACTTCGGTCCTAACTCATCTGGTGCGACCATAAGTCTCGAACAAGACCTTAATAGCTTAGCATTAACCAATAATAGATTAGAAATTAGACAAAACATTTTTACAAAATGTTATACGACAATAATTTAATCGAAATGTCTCTACGACTCAATAGATCAGAGCCAATATTCCGAACGATAACAGAACTACCCGGAATTGGAAGAAGACCTCGAACCAGAGACGACATACGACAAAGCAGAAACTTACCATATAGTTATATGATAGTTCGGCAAAAGCCAGAACAAACTTTTGTATTTAGAATACTACTAGCAATGAATTTAGATTTTCATTTGCAAACATAAAATTTTGAAGTCAATCTTCAAAATCATTTCAGGCGCTAAACAAAATTATTAATATACAATAACGATTGATAAAAAGATCTCAGATCGTTTTCCAAAATTCTGCAGTAATATACAAAACATGTTTGAAAAATATTTATTGAAAAATCAAAATAAAAATTAGTAGCATGACAATAAATGATTAGTATTTATAAATCATCCTGTTGTTCCAGCTTCATCACCTAAACATAACAGCAATCATAAGCTCACTAATATCATAAAAATACTAAATCTATTCTTTACACAAATTTAAACCATTTTAAACTTAAATTCACTTAATTTTAAAATCAGATCATCAAGGCTTATCCTTGGATCTTAAATCATTTTCTATTTAATTAAATTTAAAACTTGATCATCAAGGCCTATCCTTGGATCAAAAAGAACAATTTTGTTCTCCCCCACCCACTTAAACGAGTGTCTAACGACCTCAAACGTCGATTCACTATCCAACCCTTTCTAAAAACCCAGGACTAATAGAAATTTTTGAACAAAACTAATCATTCAAATTAGGATAAACAGTGAAGAACTTCGGTTATTCATCCTTCACTTGATCCCCCCTCTTACCAGACCCAGGATAAATCTTAGACTTAGTAAGTTTAAAATAGTATCTAACGAACTACTCGTGTTCTAATTATACCTGAACCCTGTGGATCGATTTACTATTCTCCAACCCTGAACACAATCACTACCCTTAAGTAAGATTAAGTAAGTTAACACCTTAGCTTATACTAGCCACGAGAAAGTATAAAATCATTCTTCGGAATCGATATACTTTTCTCCCCAACCCTGAACAAATAGACCCAGGTTAGGCTAACAAAAAAATCGTAAGGACTAACAGTTTAAGCAAATAGAAATCATTTAACAACCTTTTGCATCCGTCATCCTAAACCTTATGTCATTTAAAAACCTAGGAAATAAACAAACAATCGTTTTACACAATTGTGAAATAAATAACAAAAAATACGACCTTGTAATCACACCTCATACACAAACAGTTGGATACATTAGAACAAAACGACAAACATTAAAGAGAAAAATACTAACTAAACAAAGACAAATAACACGAAAAAGATTTTCAAAAAATCGAAACGCATTTTCAGAATCAGAAACCAACAGTTTAGACGAACTTTATAAACTAAAAGAATCAATAGATAAAAATTGCCCAATTCACGATCAATTATATTTCTCTGACTCAGAAACAACTTCAAATTCATCAAAAAGAGGAAAAAGAAGAATAAAAAAGCAGTATAAACACAAACCAGTACATTTATACAATTGGAATCAACCAATTAGACACGTTGATAATTACATATTAACAGTCATCGAACGAAAAAATGAGCTCAACGCACACCCCAGGTGAAGAAAGTCCAGATGATGATGATATTTTCCCCTTTATCGTAGACGCAACCACTGATAGAGGACAGCATATATTCTGCAAAAATTTACTCTTAAATTTGTTTGAACCCGGAATCAGTCCATGTAAAACAGAGTTCCCAGATGTAAAAATCAAAAGACAAATTATCGATCACTATCTAAAAGATATATGTAACCTAACACAACAATACGGAATCTACTCCATAGAATTCAGCTCACCAAACCAGAATCACAGTAAATATATAATTCAAACAGACGACCTTGATTTAGAATTCTCAAAAATATTCTCAGAATATATAAAAAGCATCCAATATAATAACTCACAAAGAGCAAACTCCATATTCACCAATGAAGTTTTTGCGATAATATATAGTTATATCTCGATATTAGAAAACGAAATCCAGATACCAAATGTCTCACCGACAGAAACATCTAAACATATAAGAGTACGACATGAAATCACACTACTCTCTAGTTTTCTAAATATAATTAAAGAAAATTTCACGAAAGATGAAGTTTCACAACATACAAAACAGGACTTACAAAAAATCTTGGCATGGTTCATAATAGATTATTTCACACATAATATTGATTTAATTTCACAAGCAAGAAAAAACTTTAGACCCCAAAACTCCAACGATGATACTGCCATCACAGAACAATCAGACTATGTTTGGGACCCCGAATGGTCTCATCCCGCATTCATAAACTTCCCACAATCAATCTCAAGTCAAGCAATAAGTACGATATCTTATGTAAGAGATTATGTACGAGTAATACCATTAACCATTGATGCAACACCATTAAACTATAATACATTTTTACCCGATATGCAAAATAATAGTTTAAACTCTACAGTCATACACAATGAAAACCTCAATGGAACTAGGAATCTTACTCAACAAGATATCCAGACACCATCACATTTCATAAATGAAGAAATCGTACACACAACAACTACACAACAAAGTATTTCACCAATACGTCCAAACTTAACAACACCAAGAAATACAAATTCTTCACAAACACAGGTAACATTACAATCAACCGTTAAACCTTCGGTTGCTCCAAAATATTCACACATGGATTACCAAACATACAAACCCATGACAATACCGCCAAAAACACGCAAAACGTTCACTAGAAACAACTTTGCAGACCATAATTATAATTACACACATCCATCAAAAACAAATTATCAACCACGAAAAAATTTTAGTAATTATACAAGATCTCAAAACTGGGATAACCCAATGGCACCACCTAATTCAGTAAATATCCAAACAAATTTACATCCTCCACAGGATCGTAGTGAAAACTATCCATTTTTTCAACAAAATAAAAATAAAAAACAAACATCTTATCAAATGGATTACTTATCCTCAGATGATGATTTCTTACAACCAGATATATTGACACCCTATAATCAAGAATATCGTGGACAAGGAATACAGAAACCACATACATATCATAGAATTTTTTCTCCACAACCAATAGATACACAAATTCAACAACCAATTCAACAACAAAACCCAATTAATAAATCTTTTCAACCAATTCAACAACAAAACCCAATTAATAAATCTTTTCAACCAATTCAGCAACAAAACCCAATGATTGCAAACTCGTACCAACCAGCACAAATGCAAAATGAAATACCACTCCCATATTATCTTCAACAACACGAAATAACAAGAAATCAACTTTCAAATTTTTCTCAAATGCCAAATGCAGCAGAATTATTACAAATGACGATGAATCCATACCTTATGGGTGGATCATCAATAACATCAAAT